ACCAAATTTCACAATTTATAAAAGTGCAGAATCAATCAACAGTGCATTAAGTAGAAACTTTGTTAAGTATGCACTCACTGACAGTAAAGCAACAGCACTAAGAAAAAGATTACAGTACACAAGATCAGCAGAGGAATTCTTTTTTGCCACACTTAACAAGTTGAAGGATGCTCCTGGTAATCGTATGAAGCTAAAGGCCGCTGGTCTAGCAATGCCAAGATTTTCACAAAGATTTTGGGGTGCAAGAAAGAATGGATGTCTAAAAGGATACTTGAGACATAAAATATGTATAGTGAGTTCTAGTGATCTTCCATTCATACTGAATCAAATGAAAAAAGGTCTGTGGTTCTATAACAAGTATCTTATTGATTATGATTATGTTGTCAATGACTGTATTCAATTGGTACTGATACAGAATAATTTTAACTTGTACAAACAAGAGTGCCACTACAATGAAGAGTAGCATTTTATTTAGATCTTGTTTTGTATTTTTGTATGACAATTTTAAAATTTTGGTAGAAAAGATTTTTTTCTCTATATAACATGATAATTGTTATTTTGCTGTTGTCAACTTGCACACAATCAGTAATAATAATAATAATAATAATAATAATAATAATAAATTATTTACTACACAATAATATAACTCAATGAGGCCCTTTTACTAATGCACATGTAGCTATTATTTTGTGAACTGATATAACTGCATGCATGATGAGAAATCTGACTGTCCTCTGTCTTATTGTCAATTCATACATAGCAATTGATGGGGGGCCGTCCTCACAAAGAGAATTAAAAAAAACAGTTTTGAAAAATTTTGTAAAAATCTAAGCTTTTTTACAATATTTTTTTAAAATGGCCATAATTAAAAAAAATTGAACTTGGGGGATTAGTTCAAAGTTTCCACATAGCAGAAGGGCATCAATAATATTTATCAAAAAATATAATTAAAATAGGTATAATTTTAGAGTCAATTTTTGAAAAAGACCTTGGGCTATATTTATATTTTAAGGGGACAAATAGCCTTGCATATTTTTTTAATTTTGGTGTTCTCTTAAAATGGCCAGTACTCAAAAAAACATTTGTCAGAAACAGCTCAAACTTTCTACACTCCTAGTTACCTTTTTGACAGAATGTTGCAAAAGACCTTGTACTATAGTCCATGATATGTTTCACCTGATTTAGAAGTAAATTTTATTAATTCATGACAAAATTCAATTTTGATCAGGATCAGCTCAAACTCTCTAAGCAACATAAGATTATAAATGTGTATCAAAAAAGGTTACAAAAAATGGCAAATTCTCTACCTTTCAATTTTGGCAAAATTTGGCTTGAGACCCCCATGATCTTTGGTGTGATTTATTAGCAACTTTAAAAATTCATATAAAACCCTAATCTTGATCGGAATCAGCTCAAACTTTCTGTGCAATATTTAAAAAATGTATATGTATCAGAAAAAGTTACAAAATGACAAATTAATTACTTTTCAATTTTAGCAAAATTTGGCCAAAGATCCTGTACTACAGCCTATGTGGTCTTTTGGAGTAAATTTTAAAAATTCATAAAAAATCCAATTTTGATAATAATGAGCTCAATCTTTCTACACAAGAATATGTATATTATCAGAATAAATATAAAACGGAAAGTTTTTGTTTTCAATTTTGATGAGATTTTGCTTGTGATCCTGTACTATAAATAGTATAGGGACTTTGGCCCAATTTTTTGAGTAATTCTGAGAAATTATAAAAAATTCAAACTTGAGTGCAATTAGCTAAAACTTGCTACACAATGTAAGGACATCTTTATGTATCAGATAAAATTTTTAAAATGGAATTTTTTTACTTTTTAAATTTCGTGAAATTTGACCCACGACCCAGTGCCACATAGCTTGTAGCCTTTAGCCCAATTCCTCAGCAACTTTAAAATCTAATTTCAATTCGAACCAGCTGAAAATTTCTACACAACATAAGAACATGTATGTATATCAGAAAAAATTACAAAAATAATGGTGAAGTTATTACTTTTTAATTTTAGCACAATTTTACACAGGACTCTATACTATTATAGCTCATGGTCTTTGGCTCAATTTGAGCAATTTTAAAATTTTTGTAAAAATCCAATTTCTATTGGAATTAGTTCAAACTTTCTACACAACATAAATACATGTATTTGTATCAGAAAAAAATACAAAAAGATAATTCTCTCCTAATCATTTTTGAAAAATTACCCAGTAATATATGCCCTTTGTCATTAGCCGAATTTTGGAGCAACAATTCACTAGAATCAGCACAAAATAAGAACATATGTTTGATTATGTATAATAGATAATAATATTAATTGTAGATTCTTAATAGGCAATGTCCTCGTACAAGCACAGGATACATGGACTAGAGATCAATGAGAGATAAAGATAAACTAATATCAACAATTGAATGAGACATATGATAAACATGATAACAGATTAAAAGAAATGGAGACAGAGAAGGAGACATATTATACAGAGATACTCTGTCTACAAGAACTACTGGAACACATGGAGTCAGAGATGAATAAAGATGTACCCCAATCAAAGAAACAACTGAGGAGTATATATGATAAAGAGAACTATTAGTGAGATGGTGTCAAAGTGTAAGGGACTTTATTCAGAGAGAGATAAAGTAATAAAGATACTTGGATTCTGGAAAGGGAATGATAAGATGTATTCTAGTGATAGTAAATTAATGTGCATGTACATGTATTGTATGTGTTTATATCTTGTATTTACATGTATTATAGACTGTAGAGCCCAACAATATTTGTCATTGTCACAAGGAGTAGCAATATCAGCACTAGAACAAATCAGTAAGTGAGAGAGGGAGGGGTAGAGGGAAAAGAGAGAAAGAGAGAACACATTTACATATACATGCATGTGCATTATTCATAGACTGTTGATATGAGGAAAGTAAAGAAATTAAGGAATTGAGAGAAGAGATGACAACTATCACTCAGAAATACAGTGAAAGAATGCGAAGGTATACATGTACATGTATACTACATGTATGTGTGTGTATTATATATTATTAATGCTTATATTACTTTATAATTACGCTATAAATTGTTCCTTTTATTTTACAGTAGAGGAAACTATCATTTGAGCAGAAGTAGAATGAAGTACATACAATTAATTATCATTATGTACATATCATTGCTAACTGTCTTAACTCTTTCTCTCCTTCTGTCTTTCTCCTCCCCCTTCAGTTGGATTAGTTGTAGTGGAAGTATTATGATAGCCATTTAGCCTCTCATTATGGTCTTTCACCTTTTGAAGTTATCACCTTCAAAGACTGAAATCCAATGCTCATTGTAGCTTTATTGTCTTAATTCTCACATTTTGGTGTATAATTCAGGCCATTTCCACTGACTAAATTCATAGGCTGAGAAACGACCTGGCCTCTAAACAATACATTTAGTTATGCTATAGCTGTGTAGATTTATTTATTTTGTTAATATTGTTAGACATTGTTATACATACAATAATGGTGGGTAAACTGGGTATTTTAAAAAAAGTTGATCTCTTTAATTGCTCATTTCTTGTGACAGATCCTGGTGGAGCTGTTCTAATTCTCTCTGTTTTGCAGCAATCCTGGCTTGGGCTTCCATTTCATGCTTCATGGTTAGAGTTGGGTTCTCATTCTAAATTAAAAAATATATTACTTATACTGGCTACAAAATCTCAACCATTAATCCAGTACATATTGTGACAGAGCTTGTTCCATACATGCATGTATGTGTAAAAAAACCTTTTTCTGATTTGTTGATGGTTGATTTTATACATGTACACTGTACAGTACTGGCACAAGCACCTCTAACTATTGACCACATTGACAAAGGAATACATGTACAGTGTAGTTTCTATTCATTATACATCTTAATGTAATGCACTTTAGATTTACTACCTATATTTTCATAATTTGTGATAGCTACATATTGATATCCATACGCTACGTAGAAAATTTGAGCTGATTCCAATAAGTAATTTTTGAGCTATGACCAACTAAAAATGGGCCATTATTATAGCTATAATACGTGTATTTATACTCTATGATGCATCGTCACAAACAGCTTTAAAATATCTTTTATATTTTAATGCTAAATTATTTTGTTTTTAAGGAGTTTTACATAAAAAATGAGATCTCTCACATTTACAATCAAGACTTTAGAGATAAGTAATAGTATAAAAGTCATAGAGTTGATGATTGGATAGTAGACATACAATGCTGTACACTTGACTAATATAGGAAATGTACTTACATGTACAATATGTACATTCACTAGTGCAGGACTCTCAACTGGGCAAGTTGGCATTAGCACTTATAGGACCTATATTAATTATATATAAAGGTATAAAATGTGATACTTTAGCCTAGCAAAAAATACAATATAGATAGCACTTACATGCATACATTTTGTGAATATTAAATTTTGCTAATTTAATGGATAGAATTATATAGAAAATTTGTATGCCACACTTTGTTCAATGAATAAATAGATCATTTTGCCAAATTTTTTTATCCACAAATGCCTTGCAGGAACACAATATTGCAAAATTTTAAATCCACTGCCACAGTACTATGGCAACTGAATTAATTAGGCACATACAAAACATAGCCAGTGCTTTGATTAAAATTAAGCAAATGAATAATCATGTACAATACACAGCACCAAAATTAGATAGTAATTCTTGGTTTAAGTACACTTAATCTTCAATTATTATCTCATTCTCAAGACTCTCTTGATGTTTCTCATATTCATCTTCTTGTTCCATGTATCTCTGATAATGATCATCAACTATCTGAACAATATTAACTTCATTCTCTCTCACACGATACTTGTAACGTCTAGCCAGTATCACAAACATTATCAGTATAAGCAACTGAAGGAAACACAATATGCTATAGTAATGCAAATCATTTTTAAAAGAACTCTGAAGCAACACAGAAACAAAAGCATCTCCAACTGCAAGTGAAGTATAACATAGTCCAACCATCATTCCTCTCATATATTCAGGAGACTGTGCTACAGTAAATTCAAATGAAGTAGGAAGAATAAGGAAAAAGGAAATTCCAAGTAGTATTTGTTGAATTATCAATAGAGAATAATATAAAGCATATATTTTCATCAATAATTGAACTATGCAACCACATAAAGCAAAGAAAAGTCCAGTACCCATTTTTGTAAGCATACTGGGTATATACTTGTGGAAACATCTACGAATGATGAACTGATAAATGAAGAATAAGAGTACAATAGTGATGGAAAAAATATCATAAAGCGTAATCATCTCACAATCTACTAATGACTCCTTGTTGCAGTCACCACGAAAAGTAAATGAAATGAGTCCAAATCCAAAGATAGCAATGAATAATGGTAACATACGAAAGAATGTCTTCACATCTTCTACCTCTTCCTCTGTGAATGGTCCACCATATTTATCCTTACCCAGGTCTAGTCTTGAGGGAGCCTCTTCCTCCCAGTAGGTCAGAGCACTACGATTTTCAGGATACTTGTGCTTCCTGGCATAACGCAATACTCCAACTATCAGTTTGATAGGATTCTTGATCAGTGATATATTCTCCAGTTTGTCTTTAAATAATGAATGGGACACCAGTATAAGAGACAGTGCTACTCCTATTACTATAATATAGGTGAACTCTGCAGTAGCAGTACTAGTAAGCCGTAACCAATCGCTTATAATGTTTGCAACTGGCATAGCAGCAATATTCCAGTATATTATAGTACTTAGTTCATTAGCTGATGCTCCAATTAACTGATCAATATTATACTGGATTATATTAGCGCTGAAAACAATGACACCAATATAGTTAATAATAACTCCAGGATCAATCCAAATCTTCCCCAGATATCCATAGCTATTTAAGATAAATAAAATTCCAGTTGTAATCCATGATATGAAACAAAGTACAATTCCAATCATTATTGCTCTATATCTTCCTATATATACATCAGTTAATAGTCCAATGAGAAAATACAACATATCGCAAACTAAAGGAATATATGCTGCAAAGCTTCCTATGATCCCCCTGCTAGCAGACACATTCAAATAAAGCTGAATATTCATCAAGTACACCCAAACAAGAACCATAATAGCAGGAAAAGACATTATAGGTACTCTAGCTCTTAATAAAGCCATTCCTATTTCCTCCTTCATTTTACTAGAGGATGCTGGTCAGTGTGGGACAGGAGTTTACATTGACATTTGTGATTGCATCCTTATATGGAATACACACTACTACTCTCAGTAACCTATGTTATTTTAGCAGTTATTACTAAAATAAACAAAATTGTACTATCAAGAGCAGAGATTAAAGAATAATAAAAAACAGAGTAAATGCAATAAAATTGAAAGCCAAATCATGACACTAAAATTTTTATATTTGTTTATTCAAACTATACTACTTTGCATCCATTAAGTCTTTATGCAACAAATTAGCATGCACAAAATGAAATGTGAATGTAAAAAATTCAAAATCTTTCTTTCTCTATTGAAAAAAATTTAGGCCAGTAGATCTAAAATTAGTCTATTTGTCTTTTAATTTTGCAAGTAAGTTGGGAAATGATAGACCATCATTATTATTGCTAGCACTCATATTAAGGGGCAATGGTTTGGTGGAGGCAAATGATATAGCTAGCTTCAACCTGTGGGCATAATGCTAATAATTGTAATATTATACTTAATAGTGCTGAGTTAGTCTCGCCTTGTCCCTTTGCTACTTGCGGAGGAGAGGTGGGGCAAGACTAAGTGCTGGGTATATCTTGGTCTACACCTTTTATTTTTTCTTTTTGCCTTTTGATTTTTCTGTTCTTTATTATTATTGACCATTGACTATTTCTCAAAAATTATTAAATTACATATGAACATCAACAAATCTAAACATTAAAGATGTTTTTGAAATCAAAATATGTTTTTAAAATTTAATTTGATTATAATCTGAATGCTTATCTTGGAAAACGGCAATGAAGCAGTAACTTAGTATCAGATCTATAACATCATAATTAATATGTTAATATAATAATGAGGTATGTATAATTAATATCATTATGTACATATCAATTATTACTAACTATCTTGTCTCTGTCTCTCCTTCTCTCCCTCCTCTTTTTGTCCTTAATTATCATCTAGTCTCTCGTAATGGTCTTCCGCCTTCCAAAGTTATCACAAATGTTGTAAAAGTGACTATTGTTTTTAAAGGTTTTTAATTACTCATTTCTTTTGATGGATCCCAATTAGTTCTTGGTAGAGCAGTTCTAATTCTCTCTGTTTTTCAGCAATCCGTGCTTGAGCTTCCATGATTAGAGTTGGATTTTTACTCTAAAATAAAGTAAATTATTGTTACTTGTACTCTATAAAAGCAATAGAAATGGCTACAAAATCTCAATTCAATGCATATTATGTCAGAACTTAAAGGCTGATTCACACTGCATTACAACTTGAAGTACAAATGTACATGTACATGTACTATGTTCCACATGTTCATGTACTTGAATAAAAATTGGTTCTCAAGATGACCCATTATACATTTAAAAGTACATGATGATGTACAAGTAGCTTTTTATGTGTTTGTGTTGCAACTAGAAATGCAAATGGTAATGTGGATCAATACAAAAAATAAAAAAATTTCTGATGTTTTGACTTTGATGGTTGTTTACTTGTTTCTATACTACTGGCACAACAAAGAATTAAAGTGTAACTGCACCCCCAAAACTTTTTTGCCTGGAATAAGTTGGTAATGAAGAGAGAATCATGGGAAAAATAGCTAAAATTATTAAAAATTACTGTTTCTGTACTAACTCCTGGGTCAAAAGTTGCCTTGCAGCTATCTTTTCAAATCACTTCCGGTGGTGGGCGTGGTCACGTGATGACGTAGATAGGGGAACATTTGCAAGTTTCTGCATTGAAATATTAGCAATTTTAAGGCTGGATTTCTTAGTTCTGCGTGCAAGAAAGCAGCTAAGAGGTATTTTTGCAATTATTAGAAGCTATACAGAGCTAAATTATGTAGTCCAAATTTAAATTTGTCATTTAGCAGTTTTTACAAATAGACGGATTTTGTTACCAGTATAACTGCTTGTAGTTAGCTCTTGATTAGTTCTATATGGTCCACTTCATTAAAATTGCCTCCTTGCACGCAGAACTTAGAAATCCAGCCTTAAAGTTGCTAATATTTCAATGCAGAAACTTGCTAATGTTCCCCCATCCACGTCATCGCGTGACCACGCCCACTACAGGAAGTGATTTGACAAGATGGCTGCAAGGCAACTTTTGACCCAAGGTTTAGTATAGAAACAGTACTTTTTAATAATTTTAGCTATTTTTCCTATGATTTTTTCTTTATTACCAATTTATTTCAGGGAAAAAAATTTTTGGGTGTAGTTACCCTTTAAGTCATATTGGAAAAACATGCTTAAGGAGGTCATTTGTCCTGACCTTGAATAAAAAAATAATGGCATTTTTTCTCAAAAGAATTCCTTACAGGCAGTACATATACATGCACATACTGTATATATCTTTATGACTTACATATCTAATTAACTCTTCAAATGCATCAACCTTTCTTTCCATTGCATTGTCAGCTGAGTCTTTTGCTGCTTTGACAAGTGTCTCTGTAGCCTTCTTGACTTGTTGGCCAGCTCTCTATTGATCAATAATAAATAATAATAACAATACAATCAGCTTCGTGTTCCTGTATATCTCCATTCACTCCTTACTGTCCCTCTTCTCCATTCATCTCTCTCTCCCATATTCTTTGCTTGTAGTCTCTTATTATTTTCAGAGTGGGATCAGCCATAACTTAAACAGCATAAAGGAGTTGTGCAGTAGTAGCAGCAACTGCATTAGAGGCCCCAAAAGAGTCTTCCTTCCTGTGCATCACCTTCACCTTGAACCACATCACTAGCTGCTTCACATAACTGACAGGTTAACTCAGCTACTAACTTGGCCTACAAGTGAGAAAATAATATTTTATAAGCAAATAAATACATACATGTACTGACATGTACACAAATAGTAATATTAATAAAAGCTTACAGCAGAAACAAGTCCATCAGACCACAGACTATCTGCAAGGCAAGGAAAGATCTACTTTTCCCTTGTTCTGTCAGTTCCCGCGTTGAGTGTCTATAGCCGACTGTACCAGGCTCTTGGTGGCAGCTGCAATGCTCTTGGCAGCCTCAAGGATCTGAGCATCAAAATTCAAATGAGCATCAGTGGTCTGAATCAGTGAGAAATGAAACAATAACAATTTTGAAAGATACATCAACGCAGCTTCAATAGAGGTGGCAGCTGCAAGGAGTTCTTGTTTAGCTCTGACCTCAGGATTACTCATATCAACAATGAAACCAGCTCCTTACTTAAACTCACTGGTAATCTTAACAATGTCACTGACAGCACTAGCAACCTCTCTTGTGAATGAGAGGAGCTTAACACGAAGGGAGGAGTTATCTGATTTAAGTACAATGTGATGTAGGAACTGCAGCAAAGCTTTATAGGCAATGGCATATTCTTAAAAACAGGCCATGACCTACACCCGTAAATAATGAATAAATAATAATAAAACTAAAATTAAATCTATACTACTTCTTGATTTGCCCATTAATGTGAGTCAGTTTGATGTGATAGCGTATCATAAACCTTATACATGTACATGTACATGTATCAGTCTTAAAACGTTATAATTCAAATTTGGCACATTATTTTAGCACATTTTTCACATTTTTGTGGTCACTAATTCTATAATTATTACTGCATAAATCAAGATGATTAATAAAATAATATTGCATTGGTATATTATAGGAAAGCAGATCACCAATCATTAAAATTAAACTTTGCTAAATTAAAGTACTGTATAATTGTAACATTACTTTTCAGCCAGTTCTTTAGTCTGTGTAAAGTTTTGTGCAACTGCTTTGCTAATCAACAGGAGATCATGAACAGCTTGGTATCTGAGATTAGCAGCTGCTGATACATCAACCTACTAGCAGCTGTTTCTGGCTGTGACTGTTTTTGAGGAGGCAAGAGCAATGGCTTGGGTGACTTAGAGAAGTTTCTCTGGGGTAGCTTTAGCTTTAACTAATTGTGGTGGCTTAGAAGATTGGAATTCCTAAAGGATATATACAAATAATAGAGATTCAATAATACATGTAATTTACAACATGCAAAATATTGTAATAAACAAATTGGCATTTATACTAATCATAATATACTAGTATGTACATGTCAAAGCCTTACCATAAGGTCACTTTCAAAGGAGTCAATGGTCTTTTCAAGCAATTAAATGCCCTGCATGAGCAGCTTCATTTTGAACATTCTTAATTGTCTTTAAGAATCGACTATAGCTTTACCAACCATTTTCATAGGAAAGGAGAGGAAGAAGGGAGATCCATCAAGTGCATAAGAATTCAAATGTTCCATTACCTTAGCAATTTTTTAAGGTTCTCTATAAAAGGGTGACTGACACTCTTGCCCCAAGCAACTTGAGTGGCATTAGTTAGATCAACCAGAGCATTAGCAACATCTCTTACACCATCAAGTAATAACAATTATATAAACTGCAAGAAAGAAAGAATAGAAAAGCTAACTTAAACCTCAACATCATCAAAGTTAAGTGACAAAGCTCCTTTCTTGACTTGATCTGCTTCAGTTTGCATAGTACTGACAATTTTAGTGACTGCTTTAGCTAAGTGCTCCTAAGTACCACCAGCACTGCTTACAAGAAGCTGAGTATCATCAAAAAGCCTGTGAGCAGGGGAGAAGAAAAATATAGAGTCAGTGAGAGAGAGTAGATCAATTAAAAAAATAGTCTTCACAATTTTATAACATGCTTCAGAGAAGCTCTTAGTTTCTCCTTTTATAAGGGGGAGCTCCTGCAATAGCAAACATGGCTGATGTCTCAATATCTGCAACAATTCATTGAATCTTATAAGAATGGCTTCAGTACAGGCCTGAGTACCAATGGTACCTTTTTGAATGGTGGAAATGACAATATCAACCTATATAAAACTAAGGATCATATAAACCATCTCATATCGATGTACAGCTGCTAGACATGTACAGCACAGCTACATGT